GTGTTAGATAAATAATTATCAGCCATCTCTTTGACTCTAGGAGTCTTGGCTAGTGCTAAGGTTAATAAATTTAATCTTGGTAGTAGTGACATTCAGGTTAATAGAAGAATTAACCTCAACATATATAATCTAAGTTGGGTAGATAATGAGTAGTGTATCAAAAGTAAGTAAAGAGGTATCTATACAACAGCTTTGGGGGAAAGCTGATGTATAGCTTATGTTCCTTGTTTTACACACACACACAGATAGATAGAGAGATAGTAGGGGTGTGCAAAATGAGCTGTTTTCAATTTGGATTCAGATTCAGCCCATATCAGGGACAGTGATTCGATTCGTTGATTTGGATCACTGTCCCCGATTTTGATTTGGCTAAAACCGAATCTGAAGATTCAATGCTGATTCAGAGAATCAGTGATTTGGCCATAGACACAGCTTTAAATGTTTTTTCTACATACCTTGAAGTACCAGGCACAGCTACGATGCTGGAGCGGATGGAGAGTCCCACAGGAACTGTGGGAGAGCCCCTGCATGCTCAGCGGCAAACCCAGAAGTGCACCAGAAATACTTCTGGTCCACTTCTGGGTCTGCTGCCTAGTGTGCTGGGGAGCCCCCCGCACTCCTGTGGGATGCTCCACCTGCCCCAGCATCTCAGCGTTCACAAGCTGCTTGCCACCTAAAGTATGTAGAAAAAACATTTAAAGTTGTGTCTATCTCCAAATTGCTGAATCTTTCTGAATCAATTTGGAGGGTTCTGATTCGATTCAGAGAGATTAAAGGGTCTCCTGATTTGATTCGGATTCAGAGATTCAGCCACCAAATCAGGGCAAATCTCTGCTGAATTGAATCAGAGACTGAAGCTTTGCCACAGCCCTAGTAGGTAGGTAGGTAGATAGATAGATATACATGTATACACACACATGTATCCCTCTTGCAGCTGGGAAGCGGGCCCTGGCAAGAGCTAGAACTCCAATGATTTTCAGATTCCTGACCCTGTGGCTTGGAGCCAGAAGCTCTAGTTGAATGGAGCCTAGGCTGTCTGCATGGTGGAGATGCCTCAGAGACACACACTGAGGAATTCTAGACTTTTAACCAGTCTGTCATGTGAGCTGGTAGGAAGCTAGGCTAGTTTTCATTGGACCACTGCCTCCGAGTCATCAAAAGTCTTGATGAATTGGCATCTGCTGCTGGAAAACCTGTTTTGTTAGGAAATTCCCAACCAGATGGAGTTAAGAGGACCAGATTTTGCAGCTGTTCTGTATCCTCCTACTAATAAAAATATAAGCAGAATCTCTCGCTTTGTTATTTTCTAGAAATAAAAATGAACATGTGTGGATGTGAGACTTCTGTTCCAGTTATGGAAATTATTACCAGGAATCCAGGGGAAAGCAGTTCCTTTTTACCATTTGATCCATCATGCTCCATCTCAATTAGCAGTTCTGGGCTCAGTGCAAGAATCAGTTGGTGAAAGGCGATAATCTACCACGAACAGGAATTCAGACTAGAGCCGAGTGGGAGAACTTACAACTAGAAGAAATGAAATGAATGCATTTTGGGCCTGACTTAAAATGTTGTGTATGAAATAAGATGTTCTGTTTCATATGTGGGTACATGCGTATAGAAATCCTTAGCCCTTTAAAAAGTGTTGGTGAAGCTTAAAACAAGAGCCTTATTTCATATGGAAAAGTCAAAACATCTCATTTTTGAATATGGAGAAGAAAAGCTTTGACTTTTTAGAAATTCCCCTCCCTATCCCCAATCTTTTCAGCAGAAAGTATTTGCTGAATTCAGTCTGTGTTTTTGAATCGTATTGTTTTCCCCCTAAACTGCATTATCTGATGAATTTACTATTTGACAATTCCTCCTCTCCCCACAAAACTTGTCTTACCCACAACTAGGTCAGACTGGGTGATTTCAATAGTGTCTTCTGGCCTGAAAACTAATGAAGCCAGGTTTGATTCTTGTCTTGACCTAAATTGATACCATAAGCAAAGCCCAGAAGTGCTTGAATATTTATTGAAATATTGCTAAATGACTGCTCAGTCTATCTGGTTTTACAGACTGCTTATAATGAAGAATGTTGTCAGCTTCTGCTACAAACTAATTGCATAACTAGGATCTCAGAATTAAGAATGTTATAAATCAAATACTCTTTCTTGTGAAAAGTTCCTCTAATGTTTGACTGCAATAGTTGATGCCAAAGTTTTGTCTTTTAGTATGGAATTGATAATGCATCCATTAATTTGAACAACTATATTTCTATAGTCTAGGAGCTGCAGATGCCAAATGTAAAATAAATGAAGGCTAAGTGCATGGATCACATTTTGCTCAGATCTCCTCCGGACTCAACATTTCCTCTTTTTAGAGCAACAGTGAGCGACTGCTGAGAATTCTGCCAAACGAGCCCCTGATGGCTTTTATGAAATTGTTTGCAGACACCACCATTTGTCCATTAGGCTTGTACCCAGCCAGCACCTCCATGCTGTATGTCTCAGCCAAGTATAAGAGTATGTGAAAGCAGGCACTGAACATGAGTGCACTGGGCTGGATTGATGTGGTACAGGAAAGGTGAAAGGACCCACTGATCACTCCAATTGATGACAACTTTGCATGGTTACGTATGGGCTGCTCTGTGGCTCAGAGTACCTAGAGCTCTAGGTTATCTGACCAGTAGGGCTGTGTGAAATGGGCTGTACTCGATTCAGATTCATCCTGAATCGGGGACAATGATTCAATCCTTTGATTTGGATCACTTTCCCTGATTCGGTTCAGCTGAATTCGAATCTGAAGATTCAATGCTGATTTCAGTGAATCAGCAATTCGGGAAGAGACACAGCTTTAAAAGTTTTTTTCTACATACCATGAGGTAGCAGGTACAGCTCATAATTGCTGTAGTGCTGGGGTGCATGGAGCGTCCCACAAGAGCATGGGGGGCTCTCCAGCGTGCTCAGCAGCGAACCCAGAAGCGGACTGGAAGTACTTCTGGTTCAATTCTGGGTCTGCCAGGGAACATGTTGAGGGGGCCTCCCCCTGACCCTCAGCCCAGCGATCGGCCACAGGGGGACCCCAGGTGCGGGAAGTGCTTCTGGTCCACTTCTGGGTCTACTGCCAAGTGCACTGGGGAGCTCCCCGTGCTTCTGTGGGATGCTGCATCTGCTCCAGCATTGCCCCTGCTACCTGGAGGTATATAGAAAAAACATTTAAAGCTGTGTCTATGTCCGAATCTCCAAATCTTTCTGAATCGATTCAGAGGGTTCCAAATTGATTGAGAGAGATTAAAGGGTTCTTTGATTCAATTCGGATTCAGAGATTCGACCACCCAATCAGGCTGAAGCTCTGCCGAATTGAATCGGGGACCAAAGCTTTGTGCGGCCCTAGTCTCCAGACTTGTTACCAGCATGCCCCTAGACTATGGTCCTCACAGGAGAGCTTAGGGCCTTGTTGCACCTTATGCTATAAACTGAACAAATGTTAATCAGCTTAGAGTTGTTCATCTTAGTGGAGCAGGCACACCGTAGTGTGAAAAACCTGCTCTGACGGTCCTTTATCTACACAGCGGTGACTTGCCACTAGAGGCTTGGTGAACACGGGCAGGACCAGCTCGCTGCTCCACCACTGTGTGAGTTGTAGCGAGACCAGAGGGAAGCAACTTCCCTGCGGCTCCCTGGTCTCGGTAAAACTGACACTGTGGCTCCGCATGGAGGGTGGGGCTGTCGGGCTTAAGCCCTGGCAGCTCTGCTCTCAGCATGGAGTTACCATGGCTCAGTGAGACCAAGCTGCTTCTCCAGGGCTTTCTGGTCTCGTCAAGCTGTGGCAGCTCCATGCTAAGAGCAGGGCTGCCAGGGCTTAAGCCTGGTGGCCCCACTCTCTGTGCAGAGCCACTATACCAGGTACAGTGAGACCAGAGAGATCCAGAGAAGCAGCTTCCTTGGGACTCTCTGGCTTTGCTGAAACTCGCTCTCCATGCTGCCACTGGCTGAGCTGCCAGCTAGCTGGATACCACCTGAGCTCCAAGGGGCCCAGTCCTTTTTTTTCTCTGGAGCTCAGGTAGCATGGCTGGACAAGAGCTCCAGACAAAAAAGGATTGGGCCCCTCGGAGCTGCGGTGGTGCCCGGCCAGCAGCAGTGTGGAGGTATGAGTGGCTGAGCTCCAAAGGGGCCCAATCGTTTTTTCCTGAAGCTTGTCCCCCCTGCCTTGTGCTGCCACCAGCAGGAGCAGCAAGCCAGTCTGGGCAATGCTGACATGCCAGGGCACTCTGGAGCTGTGGTGCAATGTCCCTGTGGGATGAGGCCCTCAGTCTGGCCCTGCTGCATCCTGACATCCCTGCTTGCCCTGATTCAGGAGGGGCTGCTGTATCCTGGGCTGCTGGAGGACTTCAACTTGAGTGGAATAGCTGTGGGAAGTGGCCACACTTTAATGGAACAGAAACAAAATTAGATTAGAGAGAACCCTGTTTTGGAGTGGCATAATTTAAAATCAAATAACAAGGTCTTTAAGCCATGTTAAAAGGTGTTAATGTGCAGCCAATCCAGGGGTTAAGAGCTCCAGAAGCCGCTGGCTGTTACCATGCAACAAGGTCCTTACAGTGATCGTATGCTACTCTTGCAGTGGGGGGAATTCTTCAATGTACCACTGTGTGACAGATACCTTATGTCACAATATAAAGGAGCCACAGCAAGAACTACAATTTGGTTCTCTGGACATGTCTACATGTGCATTAAGGCACTTTTTCTAGTGTGCATTAAATTTAGTACCTTCAGTGTGAGGTACTAAAGAAAAGAGCATTAGGCTGCCTTAATGCACAGTAATGGATGTTCACAGTTTATAAGTGATGCTTAACGCACAGTACTTGAGGGCTGCGCAAAACTTTGCCATGTGCCCCCCTGACCCTCTCACTCCCCCCCATGGCTGTCCTGCCCGCCCCAGCTCTGGCCCTTTAGGAAGGAAAAAAATCCGAAAAAAAACTCCCCGAACTCACTGACTTCTGCAGTGGCCTTGGAGCTTCAGGGGGGGCTCATGCAGAGCCCCCCACAGAGCACGGGGCACTGGGGACAGCTGGGATCCCCCCCCCACCAGGCAGGAACCAGTGAGCCCATTTTTTGTTTATTTTTTCCTTAAAGGGCTGAAGCTGGGGCAGGCGGGGCAGCTGGAGTTCCCCATGCACAGTGGGGCAGTGGGGGGCAGCGGGCATTGCCCCCTGCCTGGCAGCACCCAGTGAGTCAGGGCTTTTTTTTTTTCTTCAAAGTGCCAGGAGCTGGGACGGGTGGGGCAGCCATTGCGGGGCTGGGAGAGCGGGCAGGGGATGGGCCTGGGTGATTTGGAGATTCGGACGAATCAATTCGGGACAGTGATTCGAATCACTGAATTGAATCACTGTCCTCCAAATCCGCCGAATCCAAATCCAAAGCAAATACTAGCTGCTTTGCACAGGCCTAGAGTAGTCTATTTTACTGCACATTAGCATAATGGCACAGTTTTTTACGTGATGCTTTAATGCAAAGTAAAATAGGCTACTGTGCATTAAAGTGCATGTGTAGCCCACTGTCTCCTCTTGTTAGATTTAACTGTTGTATTAGTCTTATTACTGAGATTTGTTAATTATTTGCATTGAGGCAGTGACCAAATGTTGCAATCGGATGCAAATAGAATGACATGCGTCTTGCCCCAGAGAGCCTCATTCTGCAGAAGAACAGAAGGTGACAGGCCAAGTTCTGCATTGGCTTTAAACATGACAAGGTGGAAAACCTGAGAAGCCTTCTGTAAATTCTGACAGGCAGAGATGCCGTTGAGGCAAAACCAAAAGGAAACAAAACTACTGTTCTACTGATGCTAAGGTTGTGAACAGAATAGAGGTGGAAACCAATGCTCATTTTCATGTTGCCCCACTGAAAAATATCAGGGAGGTTTTTTACTCCAAATATATTCATAATTTCTCTCTATATGTTTTTCTTTTACTACAGTAAAGCTGGTAATATTCACTTTTAGGCGAAAGGGAATTATATGTCTAGCAGGAACAGCAAGAATTAATTCAGAAAAAAGAAGCACCCTGACCCCTGCTATCCAGCATTTATACAGAACCCCAAGACTCCTTTTGTATCTGAAAGCTGAAACTTTTTTGTGTACAGTCAATTGAAGTGTGTCTTTACCTATTTACTGGGGGGGAGGGGGGGAAGACAGGAAACAGGTATGCTAAAATAGCACTTTTCATAGACTCAGAGACAATTAGAGTTGGAAGGGACCTCAGGAGGTCACCCCCTGCTCAGAGCAGGACTGTTCCCAACTACATCATCCCAGGCAAGGCTTAGTTTAGCCGGGGATTAAAAACCTCCAAGGATGGAGATTCCACCACCTCTCTGGGTAACCTGTTCAGTGCTTTA